GCTATCATGTCTCCCCTAGTCCTAGAGCCAAGGTGGCGCAGTGGTTAGAGTGCAGTACTGCAGGCCTTCAGCTGACTGCTATCTGCAGTTTGGCGGTTCAAATCTCACCGGCTCAAGGTTGACTCAGCCTTCCATCCTTCCGAGGTGGGTGAAATGAGGACCCAGACTCGGGGGGTGATATGCTGACTCTGTAAACTGCTTAGAGAGGGCTGAAAGCCCTATGAAGCGGTATATAAGTCTAACTGCTATTGCTATTGCTATCCCCAGCTTTAGAGGATCCACTCAAACAACAAAACCACCCATTTTTGCAGTTTAGGGGATCCACTGAATCAGACATATAAAGGCAAAGGTGAAGGTTCCCCTCGCATATATATGCTAGTCATTCCCGACTCTAGGGGGCGGTGCTCATCTCCGTTTCAAAGCCAAAGAGCCAACGCTGTCCAAAGACGTCTCCGTGGTCACAAGGCCGGCATGACTCAACGCTGAAGGTGCACGGAGCACTGTTCCCTTCCCACCAAAGGTGGTTCCTCATTTTTTCTACTTGCATTTTTGCGTGCTTTCAAACGGCTAGCTTGGCAGAAGCTGGGACAAGTCACGGGAGCTCCCTCTGTTACGTGGCACTCGGGATTTGAATGCTGAACTGCTGGCCTTTTTGATTGACAAGCTCAGCGTCTTAGCCCGAGCCACCGCGTCCCTACAAATGTATTAAGCAATCAAAGGTGTGCGAACACGGGTGTCCATTGCTCAGAAGACCACAAAGCGCTAAAGGCCGGGACACTCGCACCCTCAGTCTGAAGGTCCACAGCCGCCTTCTGTCCCAGTATTCATGAAACGCCCCTTAAAGAGATGCCTTGGAGAGCAAGCACTGCTCCGTTTGGCTTCCTTCCTCACCTGGAGGACCGGAGAGCTGCCCGCCGCTGACTTCAGGCCAGGCCAAGCCCTTCTGCAGGGGGAGTCACGTGGGGCCGGGCCTCCCTCCACTGCAGCATTGGAGCCCCTGCAGACTCTTCCATTTCCCTGGGCAAGCTCCGAAATCTATCCTTCCTCAGTGCTCCCCCCTAGCTCAGCCAGAGGAACCGTCCCTCCGGCCAGGATCACCCCCAGATGGAAGCTAACTCTGCCCTGCTGAGGGGCTGGCCCAGGGATGAGTGCTGCCGGCATTACCGCTCAATGTGTACACAATTTTGTCCGTGTGGGCTTCACGCTTAATAGAATAAAAATTGCTCTGCTCATGCGAAGCAAAAAATAAGATGGCAGCGCCGTAGGGATGAGAACCAGTGTGGGGGTGTGGCAGGCCTGGGTCGCTGCTTGTTCCAGAAACCTGGGCCACCAAATTATTACCAGTTTGATCAAACTGTTAGGAACCCACTGCTGGGCTGGCCAAGCAGGAGCAATCGGCACACAAAGCAGGAAGCTCTGTCTCTGACGGGTTCACAGTCTCCCACCCACCTACCCAATGAAGGGATTCAGCCAGTTTAAACCTATTTGGGAGAACTGGTTGTTAACTTTCTAAGGAGTTCAGAGAACCAGTTGTTGGAAGAAATCTCCTATTATCTTTTCCCCACTTTACAGGGCTAATCCTGTAAGGAAGGCAGGAGGGAAACATTCTGGTGTTGTTTCCAGCCTAATCTTTGTTGCTCTGCTTACAGAAACCGCCTCTTCGGTTAACTCTTATTATATTGTAACAGCTCGACGAAGCGCCCATTGACGTGAGTGACATTGAGTTGGCCATGCACTTCCAGTCACATGACCACTAAGCCCCACCTACCCAGCTGATCATTAGGGCAGAGAACCGGTTGTTAAATTATTTGAATCCCACCACTTCCCCCCACCCCCCATCCCTTGGCTGCTTATGCTGGCCCCCTTTTGGGGCGTGAGCGAGGATCCAGAGGGGCTGGCAGTACACAGTCCACACAAGGGCTGCTCTCTTTCTCGTTTGTGAAATTGAGCCTTTATTATTATTATTTTTACAACAGAAATGGGGGGTGCGCCCGTAGCCGATTCTCGGCCCCAATCTTGCAGTGCCAGGCCAGGTGGGGCAAGGATGTGGAGTCCTAGAGGAGGTCCAGGGTCATCTGGTTTGGGACAGCAATTATTCTCAGCCCCACCTTCTCACATCTCTGAACTTGAGCCCTTGGACCTGCCACCTCAGCCGTTTCCCGTGGCTTTAAAACCAAACACGGCTAATTTTGCCAACTAAACTTTGCCCGAACAACAAGGCGAGGGAAAAAAAAAGATGCTTCCAATGAGCGACCCATGAATCCCGGGGGGGGGGGGAGAGAAGCCCAACGCCCTTTTCCTTCCTGCAGGAGGCGCCGTTGATGGCCAGACTTTGCCCAGTGTGGCCTCCCCTGCTCTTGGTGGAGACGACCGTGTTGGGACCGGCACCTGGACACTACCCAACCCCAGGAATGGTTGCAACTGGGCCCTCCTGTGCTGTCCCCCCTTCATCCCTTGTCTTGGCTCCCCAAAGTCAGAAGAGGCAATGGGCCCTCTCCCCAAACTCTGGGCCTGTCTCCGTCCTAGCCCCCCCCCCCCACTGCCACTCCAGCAAAGGAGTTCAGCATTTCCAAAGTAGGGTCCCTCTGCAGACTTACTTTCCCCTCCTCATCTCTCAGAATCCACTTTCCCTTTTCTCACTTTCTCTCCCCTCTCTTTTTCTTTCTTTTTCTTTCTTTTTTCCTTTCTTCTTTTTCTCTCCTTTTTTCTCTTTGTCTTTCTTTTTCTCTCCTCTATTTTTCTTTTCTTTCTTGCTCCTTTCTTCTTTCTCTCCTTTTTTCTTTCTCTCTTCACTTTTTTCTTTCTCTCCTCTTTCTCTGTCTTCTCTTTTTCTCTCTGCTTTCTCTCTTACTTTTTTCTCTCTTTCCCTCCTTTCTCCCTCTCTCTCTTCTTCCTTTCTTGCTTTACCTAATCTCCCTCTTCTGTGGGAAAAACCAGAGTCTTCAGCCCAAGTGCAGCCACTGCGGACTCTTGAAGAGGGAGAGGCGCTCGCCACTCCTCAACCTCTGGCACTGGCCTTTCTGATTCTGAGCCTGGAGTGTAAATCAAGTCTGTATGTGTGTGTGTGTGTGTGTGTAACGAATCCTGGGGGGGGGGGGAGGAGTAAAATGCAGTCTGCTTGGAACAGTCCTTTCTCAGGTGGTGAATTTGGGACCCCCCCCCCCAAATGGACAGTGGTTGAAGCTTCAACTTTGCTTGAAAGTTGTAACGGGTTCTGCGGTGTCCTTCTTTCTCTGGCCGCTGTCACTGGACACATCTGCAGCAGACGAACCTCCTGGTGCTCCAGCTGGGAAAAGGAGGTTTGCTCTCCCATCCCTTCTCCTCAGTCCGGCTCTCTCTGGGGCTGGAGGGTCCCGAGCAGCTTGGGGTCTTCAGGTACCTTGCTGCCAGTAGGTGAACCTCCTCAGCTCATCCCAGAAGAGAAGGCTGAGAACGGTGTGAGGTCCCAGGCGGAGGTAAGCGGGGCCGAAGCCTTTATACAGAGCCAGGACGCCTTCCTTCCCCGAGACCCGCACGACGCAGTCGAAGAAGCCGCGGTAATGCTTGCCCTGCAATGGGGCGGTGGGGAGAAGAGGACAGGACTGGTTGACAGAGTAACGTTCCCCCCACCCAACGCCTCCAGCCCAAACGGCTTCCTCTGCGGCGAGTCTCACCATGCCCCTTTCATCCACCGGCTGGTTGTAGAGCCGTGTGCTGACCACATCAAAGGGAGTCATGGCCACGGCCACTGCCACGCTGCTGATCATTCCCCCGGCAAGGGCCACCAACCAGCTGCCTTCCTTGAACCACTGGGAAGCGAAAAGCCAGAGAAAGCGTCTGGGGAAGGGCCAATCCAGGTGGTCCGCAGGCCAATATGGACGCTTGGGAATGGGCCCTGGGAAGCAGGGTGGCTGGGAAAGGCCAAAGGGGAGCTCCCGCAATTGAGTCGGATGCTGGGCAAAGACCCACCCCGTTCAGGGCACGCACACACACACATACACACATGCGCACATTGAGCCTGCTCACCTGCTGCCTTGCCACCCACTCCCTGGCAGAGGCAAAGGTGGCCAGCTGTACTGAGGAGCCCACCGTGACGCGAGGCACTGCTCCGCTCACACCACGCCACAGACCCAGCAGTCCCTGCCGCTTATAGATGGCCTCAAAGGCCCCGGAGATGCTCTGCAAAGTGACAGGAGAAGACAAGCAGCTCAGCCCGGCGGCTCTTCCTCGGGCCAGGCCATGTGTTTGGGGGGGGGGGGAACGAAACAGGAGGAACTTTTCTAGCCTGCAGGACCCTCCCCTCTACCACAGGGCCAACCCTAACCCTAAAAATGACTAGGAAAATGGCATCCAATGGGATCAGGCTGATCCCTGTCCTGTCAGCAGGGGCCACGTTAAAGGACCTGGCTGGGGAAAAGATTCCTTGCCGAGGAAGCTGCGTCCTTAACAGACAAAATGGTGAAAGGACCAGACTCTTTCCCTGGGACAGGGGTCGGCAAGCTTAAACACTCAAAAGAGCCACAAAGGTCCTAACTGGAAGCCCCCCTTTCAATTCTGGAGCCGACCAGAAGTCTGGTTCCCTCCACCATAGTTTCCTCCTAGCACAGCATCCTTTTCCCTCTACCTGTCCTAACCAAAAGCCCTATCAATTGTGGAGGCAACCAGCAGCAGGGAGCCGCAGCAGAGGGATGAAAAGAGCCACATGCGGCTCCAGAGCTGCAAGTGGCTGCCCTTTGGCCTAGGATGCTTAGGTGGGCGGAGGGGTGAGGGGCTGCTGCTGTGAGGTGGGCTCTTTGGGAGACCTTGCCAGAAGCCAGGCGTCAGTTAGGAAAACACTTCCATCCTAAGGTCAGCGTTTCAAAGCCCAGCTCCAGGGACAGGTGGGCTGGGAGCTTTTCAGGCCAGCCGGCTAGCCATGCTGCACCACTGCCACTGGGAGTGGAGATTTTGTCAAGCCAGGGTGCTGAGCTTCCTAGAAAGCAATCCTCTCCAGGTGGGACAGGCAGCCGATGCAGCTGCTGTGGTTTGCTTTGGGACCCATCGGCCGCCCCTCATCCCTCCTGCTTGGCAGTGCCCAAGGTCGCAAGGACTCCCTTGGCCTCCCTTGCTGGGAAGGAGGCTCAGCAGGAGGGAGACTCCTCCCAAGGACTGGGGCTGCTCAGGCCTGAACCCTGGCAGAAGCTCCTCTGGCAGCCTCCCCCAGGAGGGTGTGTGTGTCCCGCAAAGCGCCAAGCCTTCTGCCAAGACGGGCAAAGGCAGCTGTGGGTGGAGTCCTGGACCAAGAAAGGCTTCCCCCTCCATGCCTCCCAACAGAGCGCCGAGCGAGAACGCCTCGGACCTTATGGTTGTGCTGGTGTCCCACGGCCACGGCGGACGCAGTCTGTGCCTGCAGATGCGTCTTGATCTGCAAGAGGAAAATGAACGTGTTGAGACCAGGACAGGATGGAGGTGGGAGGGTGGGGGGCAGGGGAGGGAAACCAACTCTCTCCCACTGACTTGCACCCGGTGTTTTCGGAGGCCTCTCTCCCCTCTCGGCCTGCACTAGCCCTGCCGAGGACAGTCAGGGAACGCATTTGCTTCCTTCTTCGGGGATACTAAGCTGAAAGACGGCCCCTCACCACCACCTGGGCTCTCTCCCCCCAAACGGGCTCCCCAGGTGGGCAGCTGCCTAAACGATGGGCCCCCTCTCTCACAGGGAACAACCTGAGCGCCCACAGGGCAGAAGCTGGCTTTTTGCAAACCACCTCTAGGGCCAGTTCTGCAAAGATTGTCTCAGCAGATATCCCCTGAGGTTGCACCAAGGACTCAGAAGGTTTGTTCCCAAATTTGGCAGAGGCCTTAGCTTTGAATAGCAAGGACTTGAATAACGAAGGTTGAAAGAGACCAGAAAATGCGGGTTTGGCGGGGAGGCATGCCTTCATCCTCAAGGTCCTGTGCGGAGGGAGAGGGCACCATGCCCAGCTTGCACTGGGCCACCGCAAGGCCATTTTTTCCTCGGCTCTCTTGGGCTGTTCTAAATGCCAGGGCAACAGGCCTTGCATGCTTTTTAAAAAGCTCTGCACCTCCCTGGCGCAAAGCCAGAAAAACACAATACAGAGTAGGAAGGGATCTTGGAGGTCTTCTAGTCCAACCCCCTACCTAGGCAGGAAACCCTATACCGTTTCAGACAAATGGCTATCCAACATCTTCTTCAAGACTTCCAGTGTTGGGGCATTCACAGCTTCTGGAGGGAAATCCTGTTCCACTGATTAATTATTCTCACTGTCAGGAAATTTATCCTCAGTTCTAAGTTGCTTCTCTCCTTGATTAGTTTCCACCCATTGCTTCTTGTTCTACCCTCAGGGGCTTTGGAGAATAGTTTGACTCCCTCTTCTTGGTGGCTATGCACCACTTTGTGGAGATGCCAACCTCCATGCCGCATGTCTTCGTGGGCAGCACAAGAGAGGACTCCGGTGCCCACAGAAGCACCCTGGGGAGAGGGGACTGCCTCGAAGCCGCCCCAAAGAGGTGCCTCCAGCCTCACCAGCCCCCCAGAGCCCACAGCAGGGGGTGCTCCGGCTATCCTGCTGGAGAGGATCTCTGAGATATCCAAGCCCTGGCTGTGAAAAGGGGGTGCAGCAGCCACACAGGAGACGCCAGGCCCACCCACCTCCCTGCCTGATCTGCAAAGGAGGGACAACGAGCCAAGGCTCTGCCCCGAGAGGCTTACCAAGTAGGCTGGGCTGCCGACAAAGGCCCCCAGTGCCCCGGCCACAGCTCCGGCTGCCAAGGTCCCTCCCGGATGCTGGGTCAGGCCGATACTTTCAGCGTGGGAGTAGAAGCCGAATCGCACGCCGTTCATCAGCCCCTGGTACAGCAGCCCGGCCGCCAGTCCTTTCTGCAGACCCCGCAGTCCGTCGGCCTGCCGGACGGCCACCATCGCCTGCAGCACCCCTCGGTAGTGGCGGGGGTACGAGCCCCGGGCACGGAGCTCCCCCTGCAGCTGCAGGCGTGTCTTCACCACCTCCAGAGGGTTGGTGAACACGCAGGCCAGGCAGCACGCCGTGGCCCCCAGGACAAAATCCACCGGGGGAGAGAGGGAGGTTGCTGCCGGGAGACGGGAGGAGGGCTCCATGGGGCGGCTGACACCGGCCCAGGCAGAGACCAGGGACAATAGGCCTCCCCACCCAAGCAGTACCCTTGCAGTGGCAGCCCTGACAGGAGGTGAGGGGGCCCCTTTCTTCCCGCAGGCACCGGGCGGCTGGCATCGATGCCCTCGACAGACAGCCTGAGCTGCGTTGAGCCCTGCCCAGCATTGGCAGCCCTGGCTCTTTGCTTTAGCCTGAGTTGCGCCTTCCTCTGGGTGAAACCAGTTCAGAGAGGGCCTTTATTTGCTGCTCCAGCAGTGGGCTGGGCAGGGGAGGGAGGCAGGTGGCTGCATGTAGGAGAAAGGTCAGCCGCGACTGGATCCACCCACTGTGCCAAGGGCCAGCCCTCCTCCCCGCCTCCACACAGCCTCCTCCCTCCGGAGCTGGATGCCAAACCTGTCAGCTCCACCCCTCCCCTCCTGGCCCAGGGAAGAGGCTGATTCTGCCAGCAGCCTCACCTTTGCTCACCCACTCCTCTCCCAGCCCGGATGAGTGACAGGACGGTACCCCTACCCAAAGTGCAGCCATTCTGTTGGGCAGGCAGGGCTCTCAAAACGCACATTCCTCGGGCAGGAGGTTCTGCTGAACCAAGAACTGAGCCCTCGCAGGGCAGGAGGGGGAAACAAGCTACCTTTTTCCAGCAAAAGAAAGAGGGTGAAAATCTGGCTGCGTCTAATACACTGAATAGAGCATTTTTGGCCTCTTGAAACAACCCCCCCCCCACACACTTTCACAAAAATAGACGTGCATAGCCTTTAGGAGGCTTTCAGGGGATGGGGAGGGCAAAAACGAAAACACCAAAAGTATTTTCACAAAAAGCAAAGCCTGCAGAGGGTTTGGGAGGCCTGCAGTGTGCAAAAACCTTTTTTTAAAAAAAATTGCCTCTTCAAAATCTTGGTGCGTCTTATACTCCAGTGGGACTTAATAGTCCAAAAAATACGGTAATCCTGGGGGAAAGGGTAAGGTTACTGTAGGGGGGGGGGTACAAGGGGCTTTCCCCAAGGTTCTGGCTTTGACAACCACAGCCTCTGCTTCTGGCACATAGATCTTGAGCACATGGGCAGCCAATCCTGGCCGAGCAGTAGCTCCAGGGTTCAAAAAGCATAGCCGGAGTTCTGGGTCTGTGGCTCAAGCAGGAAGGATGTGCCAGGAGAAGGGCAAGGTGTCCTGTGGGGGCATCACGAAGGGGCGGGGGGAGGCCACATGACAGGGCTCAGCCTCCCCCGATCCTCCCCAAGCAGGAGAGGCAGCCCCCTTTCCAAGCCCAGAAGAGCCACAGAGATTCCCTCCCACCTTTGTGTTTGTGGGCCACAGGCCCTCACCCAACGAAGAGAAACTTGTGGGATCTTGTGGAAATTGACTTTCTGCAGCTGGTGCTGCGCCAGGGGTTTGGCAGGTGCCTCGTCAGCATCATAACCGAAGATAGCACTGGGCCCTAGACTTATATACCGCTTCACAGTTGCTTTTACAGCCCTCTCTAAGCGGTTTAGAGAGTCAGCCTCTTGCCGCCAACAATCTGGGTCCTCATTTTACCCACCTCGGAAGGAGGGAAGGCTGAGTCAACCTTGGAGCCTGGTGGGATTCGAACTGTTGGCAGTGGGCAGAGTTAGCCAGCAAAGCTGCATTCTAACCGCTTGGAGGGAAGGAAGATAGCAATAGCACTTAGACTTATATACCACTTCACAGTGCTTTACGGCCCTCTCTAAGAGGTTTATAGTTAGCCTCTTGCCCCCAATAATCTGGGTCCTCATTTTACCCACTTTGGAAGGATGGAAGGCTGAGTCAACCTTAAGCCGGTCAGGATCAAACTCCTGGCAGTGGGCAGAGTTAGCCTGCAATACTGCATATTGATATATGGATGAAGGAAGGAAGATAGCACTAGCCCCTAGACATATACAGTTTCGCAGTGCTTTACGGCCCTCTCTAAGTGGTTGACAGAATCAGCTTCTTGCCCCCAACAATCTGGGTCCTCATTTTACCCACCTCGGAAGGACGGAAGGCTGAGTCAACCCTGAGCCAGGCGGGATCTAACTCCTGGCATTGGGCAGAGTTAGCCTGCAATACTGCATTCTAACCACTGGGCACAAGGATGGATGGATGGATGGAAGGAAGAAAATATACCACTTCAGTGTTTAACAGCCCTCTTTACGCGGTTTTAGAGTGTCAGCCTCTTGCCCTCAACAATCTGGGTCCTCGTTTTACCCACCTCAGAAGGATGGAAGTCTGAGTCAACCCTGAAGATCTCGGACATTGGCTCTGGGCCAGGGTCTCAGGCGGGCACCCCTGCAGGGCATGGCTGTAGGAAGCGGATCTGAGGAACTGAGAGTTCTGAGAGCAAGAGGCCAAAAAATGTTGGTCTTTGGAAGTCGCTTCTAGTGACCCTCCTGGAGATGCTCCTACCTATCTCTAGTGCCCGGTGGCAAGCAGGATGAGCCGACGGAAGGCCTCAGGCCCCGGAGGAAGCCTCAGGGTGGCAAAGGGGAGGCAGCTGAGCAGGCAGGCGCGCAGTGCTGTGTATCGCCAAGTTGCCTTTATTAGAAGGGCCGGCCCACGTGTATCCGGACCCACAGTGCCACAGGGGCCTCTCCTTGGAAGAGGCCCCTGCGGGAAACATATACAGTACATTAGCAGGTCTCTCGTTTCATTCGTTAAAATTAAAGAGTCTAAAAAATAAGAAAAGCTTTTAAAAAAAAAAAAAAAACCCAAGGCAACTACAACTACTCCTAGCTCGACTGTTGGAAGGATTAAACTGCAACTTGAACCCAGACCCCCAAAAGTTGGGCGGGTAGTTTGTGTGCAGAAAGCCCTGTGAGCTGTTGCCCCCCCCACATTCCCCCAGCAGGACCCTCAGCTCCAAGTGGTGGGAGACACTGCCCCCCCCACACCCAGGCCTGTTGCCCAATTCCCCCCACCAGTGGCTCTGCTGCCACGGAGCAGGGCGAGACGAGAGGCGGGTGTGGGGGAGCCCTGGCGGCTCCTTCCTGGCTCAGTAGGGGTGGGGTGGGCAAGGAAGGCGGCCATGACAGTAGCATAGAAGCTGCAAAGGGCAAACCGGGACCAGGAAGTGGCCCAAGACT